ATTTTTTTGGTGGAAAACGATTGTAGGGGCAGTTCTAAGCTCAAACCGCCCCTACAAAAAAAACTTCATAGGGGCGGCTGCTATTACAAGCCGCCCCTATAAATCATATTTGTAGAGGCGGTTGTTGTCACCAGCCGCCCCTACAAATTATTTTGTACGGGCGGCTGGTGACAAAAACCGCCTCTACAAATATGATTTATAGGGGCGGCTTGGGAACCGCCCTTACAAATCCATGATTTGTAGACATGGTTTCGTAGGGACGGTTGACCGAGCCGTCCCTATAAACCATCACCAGCCGCCCCTACGGTGCTTTCCTGCAGTAGTGCACCGTACCACGATGGCAATGCATTACATTCACTCGTACGCCATTGGGAAACGTCGATGCCTCTTCATAATCGACACAATATCCCAGAGTCTTGATTACATTTTTGTGCTGGAGCTTTACACCGATACTAATATCGTGCAAGATGACATTTTCTGGAATACCTCCGTGAAATTCCTTGATGGCAACCACTAGTCCATTGCACAGTACACCCTGTGAAGTATAAAGATAGTTGGGTTGATCATCTGCATACGTGGAACTTCTACGAGGAGAGCAGGATGGTTAAGAGAAAATCACTGAGCCGTAGCACTGCCCCCTGAGCTAACTGCTTTGGTCTTTGGGGGTGCACGAGATCATGTCTCCTTTATGTGTCGCATGAAAAACAACTTTTGAATACATTATTTATAGTTAACTCAACGAAAGTAATAGCATCATTAATAATAATAATTTCTATATCTAATATGGTAGCACGTATAAGGTTTATGTAGCAATTGGCATAACTAATCATGAAGGATCCAAAAGCAAAAATGTAGTTAATATAGCATACGGGGTACCTTGGCCAACGATGTTATTCTTTGAAAAGTTATCTGTAGTAGCCTCCAATTCAGACAAACTAAACTTTGTTAATCCTATCATAAGAAATGCTGACACTGTTATGCAAACCCGAAACTGTAAGTTGTGATACTGTGCAATTTGAAGGAGCTGCTTGGTATTCTTGTTTAACCGGACAGAAACAATGTTCAAAGCTGTAGCCTTACCGTACAATGAAGCATGCAGATGCTACCGCGCTTCCTGTTGCTACCTCCGCTTTCTCAAATCTGCCATTGTCATCAATAAGATCATTCACTATCCATTGTATCGAATGGAATGGTGCATCAAATGATCAAAATATAGGTAAAGGAGCTTGTGTGGAAAAATTATAGGACAGACCAAGGGTGTAATGCCCTTTATTTACTACTGCAGTTCACAAATATAAGGTGTTCTAGTATTTTTAGGATAAACTAGCAAATATGTTTGTGCACTATAATAGAACATATATTTTGTTACACCGTCGAGGCATAGGGAAAAATATAGAACTGAATTAAGGTTTTAATGCCCTTTATTTGCTCCTCGCAGGACACAACTATAAGCAGGGAGGATTAGCCTTAGCAATACTTAAATAAAATCTTTTTATTTGTGGATGGATGGAATAATATATATGCTAAATTTCACATAAAATAGGTCTACATAAATGATTCGTAGAGGCCCTTAAAATCAGTATTATGGAGTTATTGTATATGCTAAATTTCACTCAAAACAGTACTATCGAAAAACAGTGAGACACAGATTGGAAACAGAAAAATCAAACCCAGCATCACCAGATGGAACATCGCCATGTGCGAGCTTCTCCATTTCTGCTATATCCTGGGTATAGTAAAAGTAATTTACTTAGTGTGTTTACTAAGTAGAAGCTTGTATAACGTAATAAATTTCACGCCATCATGGATGATGTCTGTTCCCAGACAAAAATGAAGAAATTATATGTGTGTGTGCTGAATTGCAATAGCTTATTCGGGAATCGCTCGGTGCTATCCTACTGCTCGTCGGCGGTGAGGTTACTTCCCTAGCGAGTAAGGGAAATGCTCCTCGGTCTTGTTGGGTTGTCGGGGGAGGAACACTCTGTTGTTCCACTCAATTGCTTTGTTCTCGGCCGAGCTCTCGCTTGCTCCGCCTCCTAGCGCATGAGGGTGGAAGAAGGGTCCTCCCTGCTATGGGAGCCGACTTTCCCCTTATATTATGAGGAAGGTCAGGTACAAGACGGTTTGGAAGCTACAGTCCGTAGTCTTCGTGCACCGGGGTTCAGGTGGGTGCTGCTGCGGCGTGGATGTGTAAGAAAAATAGACCATCGGCCCATTGAGTTTGGATTTTGGTGTTTGATGATCAGCGTTACCAAGTTGGACTAACGTGTTTACACAACTGCAGACGCCCTCTTTGCCGAGTGCTGGGGGCACTCGGCAAAGCCAGCCAAGCACTCGGCAAAGGCTTTGCCGAGTGCCGTACTCGGCAAAGGTCTCTCGGCAAAGATCTTATCGACAAAAATTTCTTTGCCGAGTGCCAAAAATCGACACTCGGCAAAGTTGGAACCGAAAAAAACCCGAAAAAATAGGAATTTTTACCAAAAAAAATGGAAATTTTGTTTTAATTGGTGGATGCCCCCACCGGTCAGCGCCCATTCATCTCCAGCTTTTTTTGCATCAATTTCACGGCTACGCGGCCAACGGGATTCGAACCCGAGACCTCCCGCTGCGCACAAACTTCCTCTACCACTACACCACACTGTCACTTGTGTCTGGATTCCGTTTTAGTTCCTAATATATTATATTAAACCGAGTGTAAATTGTTTGTTTGAGGCCCTAAACGAATTCAAATAAAAAAGTTGTGAACTACAAAGTTTCATAACTTTTCGAGATCTACACTTTTAGTTTAGGAAGTTTTTCCATTCGAGGTCGTTTACAAAATTTGAATTTTAAAATTTGGAAATTCAAACGCAGTTTTGCATGACAAGATGTTTTCAAATCAAAAAGTTGCCAACTACAATGTTTCATAACTTTTGGAGATCTACAATTTTTATTTAGAAAGTTTTTCCATCCGAGGTCTTTTAAAAAATTCAAATTTTAAAATTTTCAAATTCAAACATCGTTTTTGCATGACAAAATGATTTCAAATCAAAATGTTGCCAACTACAAAATTTCATAACTTCTCAAGATCTACAAAGTTTATTTTGGTCATTTGTTTATCCGACATAGTGGTAGTGACATTGTTCACAAATCATATATATCTCTCTTTTACTTTCATGAAACTAATATGAGACATATATATTTTATGAACAACGTTATTGTCGCTTTGTCAAATGAAGAAATGACCAAAATAAAATTTGTAGATCTTAAGAAGTTATACAACTTTGTAGTTGAAAAGTTTTTCATTTGAATTCATTTAGGGCCTCAAAGATTGATTCAAAAAACTGATTTGCCGAGGGCCAAAAAAATGCACACGGCAAAATGCCTCTTTGCCGAGTGCCAAAACATAGGCACTCGGCAAAATATGGCTTTGCCGAGTGCCAGAAAAAAGGCACTCGGCAAACTTAAAGTAAATTGCTTGTTTGAGGCCCTAAATGAATTCAAATTAAAAAGTGGTCAACTACAAAGTTTCATAACTTTTTGAGATCTACAATTTTCATTTAGTAAGTTTTTCCATCCGAGGTTGTTTGAAAAATTCAAATTTTAAAATTTTCAAATTCAAACGTCGTTTTTGCATGACAATATGATTTCAAATCAAAATGTTGCCAACTACAAAATTTCATAACTTATCAAGATCTACAAAGTTTATTTTGTTCATTTGTTCATCCGACATAGTGGTAGTAACATTGTTCACAAATCTTATATATCTGTCTTCTACTTTCATGAAACTAATATGAGAGATGTAGATTTTATGAACAACGTTATTGTCGCTTTGTTAAATGAAGAAATGACCAAAATAAACTTTGTAGATCTTGAGAAGTTATACAACTTTGTAGTTGAAAAGTTTTTCATTTGAATTCATTTAGGGCCTCAAAAATTGCTTCGAAAAACTGATTTGCCGAGGGCCAAAAAAAATGCACACGGCAAAAAGCCTGTTTGCCGAGTGCCAAAACAAAGGCACTCGACAAAATACATCTTTGCCAAGTGCCAGAAAAAAACACTTGGCAAAGACGTATTTTGCCGTGTGCCAAAAAATAGCACTCGGCAAAATACATCTTTGCCGAGTGCCAGGAAAAAAACACTCGGCAAAGACGTATTTTGCCGTGTGTTTTTGTTTGCCGAGTGTATTTTATTTGGCACTCGGCAAACACGGCCTTTGCCGAGTGCCCGATAAAATACACTCGGTAAAGACTCCGGCACTCGGCAAATCACCGGTTTCCCGTAGTGTTACAAGTGTTTGTTTTGTAGTTTAATAGGGTGCAAACGTGACTTTGACAAAGGCGACGTGGTGATCCGATAATCAACACCTCAAGAAAGACCTTAGAAGCATCATGGAAGACCTAGAAGATCAAGCAAGTCTAAGCCACGAAGGATGGAACCAAGCTGGACGCAAGATGGCGAAGAAACAAAGAGCTAAAGGGGCATCAGACCCTGTCACGCAGGGCGTCGGACCAATCGGGTAGAGTCCAACGGTGCAAACCCTAGCCAGACACAGTGTCGGCAGAAGCGTCGGACCGAAGAAGGAGTGAGCGTCGGACTATACAAGCTCACTGTTCATCAAGCGAAGAAGCTGCGTGAGAGTCGGACCCTGTGATCAGTACAGGCATCGGACCAATCGGTGGTACAGTCCGACGGCTTCTAGAGAGGTTTCATAGAGCGTGCGAGGTGTCGGACCAGTACAAAACTAAAGAGTGTTTATAACAACAAACGAGGTCAAACTGACTGGATTTTTTTCACAAACATGTACTGGTCCGACACCTTTATTGGATTGACTTCTCGTGTTGTGAAATATAAAGTATTTTTAGGTTTTCAAAAATTCTAGCTCCCTTGTATATTATTTTAGAATTAGAATATAGAGGACAGGTACTACGTAATCCACGCGTCACATTTATATCCCATCGGTCTTATGTCACTAATAAAGCACGTGCATACTGGTTCATGCAGCGTATGTTCCGTGGTCGTTAATTAGGCATATTAACCGGAGCAAATACGCGGCTGACAACAGGGTGCAAAACCAGGCCTGTGTTTTTCTTTGCAACCAGTCCTGGAGCCTCGCAAACGTCGACATTCTTAGGCTCCACTCCGCTCGGTAGCTTCCAATCGAAGTGGTACAGAAGGCTGGCCAGTGCAAGCTCCATGTTGGCCAATCCAAGGTTTCCTCCCGGGCACATTCGGCGGCCGGACCCGAATGGGAGAAACTCATAGTCTGTCCCTTTGTAGTCCAGGCTGCTGTTCTCGAACCGCTCTGGCCTGAATTCTTCAGGATCTTCCCAGTACTTGGCGTCCCTACAGATGGCCCAAACGTTGACGAACACGCATGTGCCCTTGGGAATGTCGTAGCCCATGACCTGGCATGTCTCACGGCATTTGCGTGGGAGCAGGAGCGGCACCGGGCAGTGCAGCCTGAGAGCTTCCTTCGCCACACACTTGAGGTAGCTAAGGTTTGCCCTGGCGAGTTCGTCCTCGGTGATGGTGGTGGTCTTCCCCTTGAAGGCCTCCCGGACTTCGGACTGGGCTCTGGCCATCGTAGCCGGGTACCGGATTAGCTCTGTCATGCACCAGGTCAGTGTGGTCGACGCGGAGTCACTGCCCGCGCTAAATAAGTCCTAGCAAAACAAATGGAACAACAATTGATCATACATATATGCACCGGGGCCAGTCTTAGTGGATAGTTTCATGTTTCATGGCATTGTTAATTTCCAATAAGACAAATAGAACAAAAAGAAACTTGCATGAAACATCCACTTTCAGAGCAAAGTCAATAATAGAGCCAGGTGATTGGCTATAAGTCAAGTCATAAGAACCAAGCTATACAACAGTTAGTCTTCTATTTGTCAACAAAATTTCTTTATTACTATATCTTTTTATTCTCTTTCCTATTACTCCTCACATACATCTATATTGGAACCCACTATTGTCTATGCTTTCATGCCCAGCTTGTTGCTCGCATGAGAGCCAAGCTCTCTTCTCTCTTCCACATCAGCAAAAATATTGATTAGCTTGGTTATAAGCCAATTATTGTACTTGCTCTCAATGCAAAGTTTCATTCTATAGTTTTATAAGCATTTAATTTCATGACTCGTTGAGAGTTAATAATCATACCAGGAGAGTTTCATCTAGATGAAACCTATTTTTTCTCTCTTTTCTTAAATATACTGCCATGTCATCAAAATACCTGTGTGGCAACCTATTTAATACAAATGAATCTCTTACCGAGACTGGCCTAAGATAATAAGACTGCGGAGGACAAGCAATTAAGTCACAGCGATGGGAAATTGGGAACGCGCGCGACTTACAATCATGAGTGCCATGACGATGTGATCGGTGAGCTCGATGGGCAGGCTGGCCTCTTTCTGCAGCCTGAGCAGGACAGAGATAAAGCTCTCGTTTGAAGTCTTGTCAGCCCGGTCCATGGCTTCCTTCGTCTCGCGGATGATCTGGCCAATGATGTGCGCCATCCAGTCGCGGCACGCCATCGCCCTGCGTAGCGCCGTGCTAAGATTCTGCAACAGCCTGGATGACGGGAAGATGTTAGCTACGCTTAGTTCCGCGGCCATCCGCATCGCAGTGCCCAAGGCATCCAGGTACTCGTCCTGATACTTGCACCGGCTGCCGATGGACTCCCTGACGAAGGTGTCGTTGACGAAGCTAGCGATCATCTTGGACAGGTCGACGGCGGTGCCGGCGGTGGCGGACGTGGCGAGGCTCTGCATGAACCGCCCCACCTCCTCCTCGCGGATGCGCTGGAACGACTGCACGCGGGCGGCGCTCAGCAGCTCTTGCACGCTGAGCTTGCGGAGCTGGCGCCACTGCTCGCCGTAGCTCCCGAAGATCAGGTCCATGCCGTTGAAGGTGAATATGCCGACGGTGCTGTTCATGTGACGGTCAGCGAACGTGATGTCGTGCGTCTTGGTGATCGCCTGCGCAGCCTCCGGCGACGACACCACCACCGTGGGCACCTCGCCCAGCCAGAGCATCATGAGCGGCCCGTGCTTATGCGCGAGGTCGCGCATGGCACGGTACGGCAATGGGTTGCTGACGAGGTGGTGCATGCTGCCTATCAACGGCAGCGTCCATGGCCCTGGGGGCAGCTTAAGCTTTTTTGGCTTGGTGACGAGCAAACACTTGATGAGCTTGAGAGGATGACGGGCACCAGCACCACGGCCACGGCCAGGAGCACCTTGTCCATGGTGGCTATGCCTACTAAATTGCGTGTGCTCGATCCCTTCTCCATTGTGGCTAAAATTATATATATAGACTAGGAGCAGTGGCGAAAGGACGAAATGCAACTTCATTTTTAATTTTTATATGTTTTGCTGGCGGCTAAGACGGTCCACGACAAATCATGGTGGCTTGACGTTTGAATAAGTGTCAAAACCAGGTAATAGTTCATAATTTTTTGGAGCTCATATGCAACCTACAAAAATATCACAACAAAAACACTGAATCTTTTTAACTCCCTAGCAGAAGACTTGGTGGTGGTGTAACTTTTTACTCTAGTGTCACACTGATATTAGTAACTGTAAATTCTATAGGATTTATTGAGGACAACAATATTCTACAAAAATATAGTAAATGTTTCACAGAATAAAAATATACAACAAACATTTAAGGTATAACATGTGTTTTATCACCTCTAGGTTATAGTTCTGGTCGAAAGGAACCTTACAAAATTTGAATCATGTTTTTAGATTTTATTTTGATTTTGTATGAATCTTATAAGTGTCAGCTTATTTGAGCATTTTGGAAAAAGGGAAGAAGCTAACAGACCACAACGGAAACACAACAGGGAACTTGCTTCGGAGCACGAGCGTGCGTCGTCCAGCAACAAGACGACGACATCTTTCTCTGTCTTTATTGATTGCTATAAATAAACAAAGGACCAATTTGTAAAATTCACAGTAACTAGACAGCTTCATAGCGTTGTATGTGCCCTTATATGAGCAGGTTTATCCTCCACATCCGCGGCCACACTCTGCAGCTGAGCAGTAGCATGAGCACAGCCCGCCAACACCCTCGAGCAGTAACAACTAGCAACCTCGCGACGACCAACATTGCCAACACACTGTACAACCCACACAGCCAACAGCCCATCAGCCCACACCACTCGTCCATCTCTGCAACCTCCTTACTCACCGCGCCGCTCTTTTACTCATTGTTGACCATCTCTACGATTTGGAGATGACTAGTAGGAACTAACGACACTGACTTATGGACGCTAATATGTACTCAGGCAAATATAACTTAGGCAAATAACTTAACATAATAGGAATTATAGTTTAACACCAATGGCATATATGAGAATCAGGTTTTTTAGGTGGCCGATAAAGGATTTATTAGATTTATGCCAGCGATATGTGCGTAATTTTTTCTAGTTTCTACACAAAGCCACCACATGGGAGAGCGACACGCAAACCGCTCGGCCTGGGCGTCACATCACTTTGCTTTGTCTGTTTCGAAGAGCCAGATCAGGTCTGTGGGAATCTCGCTCAGATCAGGTCTGTGGGAATCTCGCTGGGATCAGAGCTGGCCCCCGTCTGCCGATAATAAGATTGAAGTTAACATTAGCCTGTGATTCTTTTATCGGTGTAGACGATGAATTAGATTGCACATCAGTAAGACTAACGAGTCGGTTAAGCTGATTCAACGCCCGCTCTTTGCCGGGTAGACTCCTGAACCAGGGGCGGACCCATGAGGTTGCCAGGTGGGCCACGGCTTACCCTAGGTGGCAGCCTTGTACTTACTTCACACACTGGATAAAAAAAATTCACAACTATAATTACAATTACATCTTGTTAACCCAATGGTAAGGCCCTTGTTTTGAAGCCAAGAGGTTGCCAGTTCAATCTTTTGCGGCCGGATGCTTTGTTTTGATTTTCCATTTTTATGTACCTTTAAAAGTTAACTATAGATAATATTTTTTCTTTAATTTCCAATTTCCGTTTTGATTTCCCAGTTTTATATTGTTGTCTGCCGTCAAACCTCAATTGCCAGTAGTTTCTAATTTCTGATCTGTCCCGTGAAACCTCAGCTATGAGTAGTTTTTAATTTCTGACCTTTTATCCACTCTCGATATTAATTTCTGATCTTTTATCCCCTCTTAACATTAATAACTATATATTATAGTTCGTCCTTTATTTTCTAGTTTTTTTTATCCCATGTTATTGTGCCCCGAGACACGGCATGAAATGGAATGGCAAATAAAAGTGATATCACTTCGGCATGATCTCTTATCAATAGCTATGTGCGATGTGGGGGCTTCGCTCGGCCTCACACCCTCGCTAGCGGATAGCACGGAGGATGTCGACTAGGGGACCCCAACCTCTTCTTATATGATCTGGATGGGTAGGGTTATAAGGAAAGTATTGTATTTGGTATTATACAATATCTAATAAATCACATCTTCTTGTAGCTTTGTGGTACACGCCGACCAGTGACATGCGCCGCACGCGTTGATCATGTGGGCTAGGCCCAAGTCTTATCTTGTGGGTACCAGGGGTCATATCCCCACAGATCCTAATAACATATTATTTTCTAATCACACATACCGCTTGCTAATGTTTCTCCTTTTAATGTTGCACAGTGTCCGAAGAAGATATATCGGTGGGATGCAGGTCCCATTCAAGTTTATCGAAATGGAGGGGAAGTACCTAAAACAGCCGGTGGAAAACAATGAATGCGGGTTTTATGTAATGTGGGCAATGCTTCGCTTCATCGGTGGGAAATCGGAAGAAACAGATAAGTTGGTGTGTATAATCCCCAATGCATTTATGTCTGTTAATAATTCAACAAAATGATTTACTGATTCCTCTTTGGATATCATCTTTTTTGAACGACAGTGCAAGAAATATAACCATGAAAGGCTGTTAGACATGGAGATCGTCGCACTGCAATCGGAGCTGGCAAAATTCATCTTAGCCGAGGTCTTGGAAAAAGATGGAGTATTTTCCATTGCACAATTCGTGAAGTTCAAGGACCAGTATGGCCCAGAGCGGCTCGCTAGATTATTGTAAGAAGTCCGAGAAGCATGCTTCATCTTATCGAATAATTTCTTTTTTATTTTGAGGGATTGAGATCTTGATAAGAACATTTGAACCGTAACTGTAATATTTGTAATGTTTAATATTGATGGACCTTCATCTACGTAGCGTATATAAAGCGAAACCCGATTCCACGAAAAAATATAAATTAAAATAAATTATAAAACAATAAAATGCGAACGGGCCATCACTGTCGGTTAGCAACAAACCGGCAGTGATGGCCAAGATGCCACTGCCGGCTTGAGCCACAAACCGGCAGCGTTGGCTTAGCCATCATTGGCAGGTCTTGTCCCAAACCGGCAGTGCTGGTTACGACAACACTGCCAACTAAAGACACAAACCGACAGTGATGTTCGAGATTACACTGCCGGGTGGCCTCATGAACTGACAGTGTTGGTAGAACTGAACTCTGCCGGATTGTGTAAAAGACCGGCAGTGAAGTTGCAGAACACTGCCGGTTTGTAGGAACCGATAGTGATACCTAACCCTCATCACTGCCAGTTTAGTTGTGCCGGTTCAAAATCCGACAATGATGGGGTGTTTTGAACCGGTAGTATTGTCTTTATCTAGGGTAGTGAGCAGTAGCATGGGCACAGCCCGCCAACACCCTCGAGCAGTAACAACTAGCAACCTCAAGACGACCAACGTTGCCAGCACACTGTACAGCCCACACAGCCAACAACCCATCAGCCCACACCACTCGTCCATCTCTGCAACCTCCATACTTACCGCGCTGCTCTTTTACTCATTGTGGACCATCTCTACGATTTGGAGATGACTAGTAGGAACTAACGACACTGACTTATGGACGCTTATATGTACTCAGGGAAATATAACTTAACATAATAGGAATTATAGTTTAACACCAATGGCATATATGAGAATTAGGATTTTTACATGGCAGATAAGGTATTTATTAGATTTATGCCAGCAATATGTGCGGAATTTTTTCTAGTTTCTGCACAAAGCCACCACATGGGCGTCAGGTGCATCGGCGCCGACACGACTTGTGGCTGTGCGCCATGGAACAGGAGTACAACATGTTCATATATGTGAATAAAATTAAAGTAAAACCAAAGTTTTAGAACATTACTTCTTGGGCAATAGGATCTAAATGACTATTCCAACAATTTTTGTTCACCACGAAGTTGTTCCATATTTTAAGCCATCCGACGTACTCCAACACAAATATTATAAGGCTGCTGTTCGGTGGAGCATCCTCGTTCGGTGAACCGGACGACGCAATGTTATGTTGCCATCAGACATCGATCAGTGTTGATTAATAATTCTTCATCCGCGAGGTATTAATATCAACCATCCATATCCCATGACATGGTCATCCCGGTGCGGTGCCTGTGTAATGCGTATCTGCAGGGCCCGTGGAATTTTCGTCCGACGACGCGGGAGGACCAGAGAGCAGAGACGCAATGCAAGGCGGCTCGCGAGTCGACAGCATCGATTGCGACGGAGGGAGAGCGACACGCAAACCGCTCGGCCTCGGCGTCACATCAGTTTGCTTTGTCTGTTTCAATAGAGCCAGATCAGGTCTGTGGGAATCTCGCTGGGATCAGAGACGGCATCATCCGCTAATGAATTATACTAGATAGATATCAGGGACGGCATCATCCGCTAGCCCCCATCGGCCCGGGTTTTCTCTTTTCCCCTGAAGAAAAAAACGAAACTATAATCGACAAGCATCAACATTAGCCTGTGATTCTTTTATCGGTGTAGACGCCGAGTTATATTGCACATCAGTAAGACTAACGAGTCGGTTAGGCTGATTCAACGCCCGCTCTTTACCGGGTAGACTCCTGAACCTGGGGCGGACCCATGAGGTTGCCAGGTGGGCCACGGCATACTCTAGGTGGCAGCCTTGTACTTGCTTCACACACTGGATAAAAAAAATTCACAACTGTATTTCCTAGTACATCTTGTTAACCAAATGGTAAGTCCCTTGTTTTGAAACCAAGATGTTGCCAGTTCAATCCTTTGCGGCCGCATGTTTTTTTTTTATTTTCCATTTTTATGTACCTTGCAAAATTAACTATAGATAATATTTTTTCTTTAATTTCAAATTTCCGTTTTGATTTCCTATGTTTATATCGTTGTGTGCCGGCAAACCTCAATTGCCAGTAGTTTCTAATTTCTGATCTGTCCCGTGAAACCTCAGTTATGAGTAGTTTTTAATTTCTGACCTTTTATCCCATCTCGATATTAATTTGTGATCTTCTATCATCTCTTAACATTAATAACTATATATATATTATAGTTCGCCCTTTATTTTCTAGTTTTTTTTATCCCACGTTATTGTGCCCCGAGACACGTCATGAAATGGAATGGCAAATAAAAGTGATATCACTTCGGCATCATCTCTTATCAATAGCTATGTGCGATGTGGGGGCTTCGCTCGGCCTCACACCCTCGCTAGCCGATAACACGGAGGAGGTCGAGGATGTCCCATAGGAATGGAAAAGCGAAGGTTGGACCCACAGGGATAGAACGGGGTTGACAATAAATTCACAACCCACAGATACACCTTCAATACAACAAGCGTCGTGGCGCCATATTAAGTTGCAAACACAACACCTCCGCAATGCAACAAATAAACCCGAAACAAGTACACCCTCGCCCAAATAACAAACGCGAGGGATCGAGCTAATCTGCCCTTCGCTGATAATCCAAGACACTAGGTGCATCCTCTACAAAACACACGTTGAACGCGACCTCCTCCGGCACCTCACCCACTACATAATCAAGCAAACCTTTGGCCACACAAGCAGCAACGTCCTCAAATAAATCCAAACCTTCGATCAAGTCAACATCACGCCCTAGGCCATCAACCCCAGATTCAACAACCATTACTGGACCCAGAGCAGCGGCGCCGCCGGCACAAGGGGCAGATCGCCCTCCAACCCCATTTTGATGGTATATATACCCGATCCCCTTCACTCAATTCAACCGGCTCTGGCTTAGGTACCCTAAGAAAACCCTCGCCATCAAGTCCAATATCTCTAGACCCCATCAAAAACCCAATCCGTCCTCCACACTAACATCTTCGACTTCGCCGGCCGCACC